TATTATTATTATTATTATTATTCTTATTATTCTTATTCGTATTCTTCTTCTTCTTATTATTATTATTCTTCTTCTTATTATTATTATTCTTATTATTCTTCGTCGTATTATTATTCTTATTATTCTTATTCTTATTCTTTTTCGTCTTATTATTATTATTCTTATTCTTCTTATTATTATTCTTCTCATTCTTCTTATTATTCGTCTTCTTCTTATTATTATGCTTCTTATTCTTATTCGTATTATTATTATTATTATTCATCTTATTCTTCTTCTTATTATTATTCTTATTATTATTATTCTTAGTCTTATTATTCTTATTCTTATTATTCATATTATTATCATAATTATTATTATTCTTATTAATATTATTCGTATTATTATTCTCCTTATTATTATTCTTGTTCTTCTTATTATTATCATTATTCTTCTTATGCTTCTTATTATTATTATTCGTATTCTTCTTCTTAACATTATTATTATTGTTCGTATTCTTCTTCGTATTCTTTTTATTATGCTTATTCTTCTTCTTATTATTCTTCTTATTCTTATTATTCGTATTATTAGTCTTCTTATTATTCTTATTATTATTATTCTTATTATTATGCTCCTTATTCTTCTTATTATTATTATTAGTATTATTATTGTTTGTATTCATACGATTATTATTATTCTTATTCTTCTTCTTAGTATTATTATTATTCTTATTATGCTTCTTATTATGTTTCTTATTATTCTTCGTCTTATTATTAGTCTTCTTATTATTAGTATTCTTCTTATTATTATTCTTCTTATTATTATTCTTCTTCTTATTATTCTTCTTCTTCTTATTATTATTCTTCTTCTTCTTCTTCGTCCTACTCCTCCTCCTCCTCCTCCTCCTCCTCCTCCTCCTCCTCCTCCTCCTCCTCCTCCTCTGGGCGCCCGTTCCGCCGACCAAGGGGACCGCGCGCCGCCTTGCGGGCCAGAGCGTCCTTCCTCTTCCACAGTGGCTCCGGCCGAGGCTCCATCCGCCTGTTCGCCGCGGGCCTCGGCGCCGACGGGGACGGGAGGAGGGAGAAGAGAGGAGGGACGAGGATCAAGGTTCGAGCACGGGGGAGGAAGGAGGAAGAAAGGAGGGAGGAAGGAGGAGAAACGACGGAGAAGTGAGAGGGAGGAAAGAAGAAGGAGGGAGGACGAGGAAGAGACTAGAAATGAGGATGTAAGGAGGGAAGCGATGTTTTCCGTAAGGGAAATACAGCGTATGATGGTCCAACACGGAATGGTTAAGGCGAGTCTGAAGCGGGCACGGTGTACTGATCAGGCCCCGAGCCAAGACAGCGCAGCGGGCCAGCAAAGGTGCGAAACATGACACTGAACAAGAAACTACCGTTCGAGTCTGGTGCTCAAACAAGTCCGCCGTGCCTTCAAAAAGAAAGTCCTGCACAACTCGAGGGCTCTTCGAACTGCCTCCTTCATGATAAGTTGCCTGACTGCATGGGGGGCAGGTTCGCCCGAGTCCGACATGTCCCTGGGTCGTCGGCCTTCACTCTATCCCAAAAAACAAATTGGGGCCTCCCGGAAGCTCCTCGTCGCCACGGCTGGATCCGCCCACGCATTCTACACGGAAGGCATCCCAGGAGAGGTCGGAGGATCGATGTGTAACAGAAGAGGGGTCAGGTCAGGTCAAGAAGCTCTTGGAAGTATACTCGTCACATCAGCCACGCCACTGGAAGACTTCTGAGCGTCGTCTTGATGAGAGCAATGGCAGCCGCTGCAGCCTTCGCGGAAACCCCTCGGGGGCCAGAACTTCACGATGCAGCATCTGACCCACCCGCCTCGCCCCCCGACCCACCGCGAGCAGGCAAACTCGATCTCTGCCTCTCGCCGCGCCTACGCGCAGCGAAAAGCGACGCAGGCCAGCCCCCTACCTCTTGTTTCTCTCTCTCCTTCTCTCTCTCTCTCTCTCTCTCTGTTTCTCTTTTTCTTTCTCTCTCTCTCTCTCTCTCTCTCTCTCTCTCTCTCTCTCTCTCTATATATATATATATATATATATATTTCTCTATCTCTCTCTATGTATAAAAAACTATCTCTCTATGTTTCTCTATCTCTCTCTCTCTCTTTCTCCCTCTCTCTCTCTCTCTCTCTCTCCCTATATATATATATCCCTCTCTCTCTCTTTCTCTCTCATTTTTGTTATTCTCTCTCTCTCTCTTTCTCTCTCTCTCTCTCTCTCTCTCTCTCTCTATATGTCTCAATGTTGTTGTTCTCTCTCTCTCTCTCTCTTGTCTCGGCCCGAGTTCCTGCGGGACCAAGGCGTGCACAGGGCGCGAAACCCTAGAGACTGCAATCGGAGCGTTGACCCCGGGACCAATTCGCGTCACTTTCCCTCTCCTCTACCCTCCACCGCAACGACCAGCGCCACCGCCCTGGAGTTCGCACCGCAGGCGGTGACCTCCTCACGGTACACTTCCTCAGCAGCGCGACAGGCAAGACTCACGCAGAGCGGCCACCTCCGCGACAGCCGCGTCCTGAGCAGCAAACTCCTACTGCCCATCACGATGGTTACGTCTTCTGCGTTCCCATCTTGGATGAACACCGCCTTCCTTTTTCCGCCTCGCGCCCCTATGAATCCTCAGGGCACCCTTGCGGATCTCCGAGACGACGCGCGTCGTTTTCGGGGCGACCGCACGAGCCACGCGCTCTCGCGCGCGCACCCACGAGGCAGCCGCGCCGCGAGAGCGGCTAGCTGGACCAAGAAGATCAACGGCAGCAACCCGTTGCACTTGAGCCTCCTCCTCCTCCTCCTCCTCCTCCTCCTCCTCCTCCTCCTCCTCCTCCTCCTCCTCTTCCTCCCCGCACCCCGCCGATCTTCCACGAGGCCGCCTTCGGCATCCGCGATGGCATCTCGGCACGCCCTGCGCGCGCGCCCCCGCGACCCCCTGGGATCCTGGGCGCCCCTCCTCCGTCGGCACGCCCCGCAGCCTCCCAGGTCCAGGGCCTTTGTCTCTCGGGTTCCAGGGCTTAGCTCCAGACTGGATGGGTATGGCGGCCTCTCGGCCTTCAAAACCTTCGAACGAAAAGGAGCCGCTCTCCTTCCGACTCCGTTTCGCTCCTCCGTTATCCCTCTCTCTCTGTCTCTGTCTCTCTCTCTCTCTCTCTCTCTTCTCTCTCTCTCTCTCTCTCTCTCTCTCTTTTTCTATCCCTCTCTCTCTCAGTCTTCCTCCTCCTCCTCCTCCTCCTCCTCCTCCTCCTCCTCCTCCTCCTCCTCCTCCTCCTCCTCCTCCTCCCCCTCCCAATCAGAATCCCCTTTACGGAGCAGAATCAAGCAAAACCCTTAGAAAAAAAACTCCAAAAAAAAACAGATCCTGAGGCGAGATTCGGGTGCGAGGGGGGGGTGGGGGAAGGTCTCCTCAGGATTGTTGTTTTTTGTTGTTTTGTTTTTTTTTGGTTTTTCCAAAGGGTTTTCGCTGACTCCTCCTCCCCACCACCGCCTCCCCCCCCCCCCTCCTCTCCCTCCTCCCCCTCCTCCTCCTCCCCCCCCTCCCTCCTCCTCCCCTCCTCTCCTCCTCCCTCCTCCCCCTCCTCCCCCTCCTCCTCCCTCCTCCTCGTCTTTGGTTTGGTTTGTATGTCCTTGTGTTTGTTTTTGTTGTTTCATGTCGCGCTGGCCTCTACAGCATGATTCCTATTGAGAGCCTCTACAAAAGGATTACGGTTGAGAGCCTCTACAAAAGGATTCCTAGTGAGAGCCTCCACAAAAGGATTCCTATTGAGAGCCTCTACAAAAGGATTCTTAGTGAGAGCCTCTGCAAAAGGATTCCTATTGAGAGCCTCTAGAAAAGGATTCCTATTGAGAGCCTCTACAAAACGATTCCTATTGAAAGCCTCTACAGCATGATTCCTATTGAGAGTCTCAACAAAAAAGGACGCCGATTCAAAGCCAATACAAAACGACTCCTATTGAAACCCAATACATCTGGATTCCTATTGAAAGCCTGTGCAAACGGATTTCTGCTGAGAGCCTCGACAAAATGATTCCTCTTCAGAGCCTCTACGAAGAGGATTCCTATCGAATGCCTTTACACCAAGAGTCCTATTGAAAGCCTTTACACAAGGATTCCGATTGAGAGCATCTACAAAAAGGCATCCTATTGAAAGCCAATCCAAAAGGATTATTATTGTAACGCAGTACACATGGTTTCCTATTGAGAGCCTCTACAACCTGATTCCTATTGAGAGCCTTTTTAAAAAGAATTCCTGTTGAAAGCCTCTACAAAGGGATGCTTCATTGAAACCCAATACACATGGATTTCTCTTGGGAGCCTGTGCGAAAGGCTTCCTGTTGAGAGCCTCGACGAAAGGATCCGATTGAAAGTCTTGACAGAAGGATCCCCCTTGGAACCCAATACACACGTATTCCTATTGAGAGCCTGTGCAAAGGATTCCTGTTGAGAGCCTCCACACAAAAATCCCATTGAGAGCCTCTACAAAAAGGATTCCTATTCAGAGCCTCTACGAAAAGGATTCATTTTGAAAGCCATTACAAAAAGATTCCTATTGAGAGCCTCTACAAAAAAAGGATTCTTATTGAAAGCCAATACACAATGAATACTACTGGAAGTCAATACACATGGTTTCCTGTTGAAAGCCTGTGCAAAAGTATTCCTGTTCAGACCCTCCACGACAAGATTCCCATTGAGAGTCTCTACAACATGCTTCCTGTTGAAAGCCTCTACACAAGGATTCCGAATGAGAGCCTCTTACAAAAAGGATTCCTATTGAAAGCCCTTACACAAGGATTTTTATTGAAACGCAATACAAATGCCTTCCTATTGAAAGCCTGTGCAAAACCATTCATGTTGACAGCCTCAACGAAAAAAATCTCATTGAGAGCCTCTACAGAAGGATTCCTACTGAGAGCCTCCACGAAAGGAATCCTAGTGAGAGCCTCTACAAAATGATTCCTAGTGAGAGCCTCTACAAAACGATTCCTATTGAGAGCCTCTACAAAAGGATTCCTATTGAGAGCCTCTACAAAAAAATCCTAGTGAGAGCCAACACAAAAAAAATGATCCCGACTGAAACACAAGACTGCTGCCTTACTATTGAGAGCCGGGGCAAAATGATTCCTGTTGAGAGCCTCCACAAGAGGATTCTCATTGAGAGCCTCTACAAAAGGATTCCTATTGAGAGCCTCTTCACAACGATTCCTATTGAAAGCCTTTACATAAGGATTCCTAGTGGGAGCCTCTGCACAAAGGATTCCTATTGAAAGCTAATGCAAAAAGAATAGTTTCAAAACGCAATACAAATGGCTTCCTATTGAGAGCCTGTGCAAACAGGAGGGTGTTGAGGATACTGAGGAGGTGTAAGAGAAGGAGGAGGAGGAGGAAGAAGAAGAAAAGAGGAAGGGAGAAGCACCGAGCACGGAGGAGGGCCGAAAGGCCGCCATACCCATCCAGTCTGGCGCCCAGGGCTTCCCCATGGCAGCCGCACCACTTCGGCGGCCAGCCAGGCCCTCCTGTTCGTCGGCGGCAACCCCCTGCACATCGGGAGCGCCACCGGCATCATAGGCGCGGCGGGCCTCGCCCCCCCCTTCGGGCCGCGCTCACCCTGCACGCGATCTTCACGCAGTTCGCCACGCTCTTCTTCAACGGCGCGACCCTGGCCGCCGCTGCGGGCCCTGCGAACGCAGCCCAGGGTGGGCAACGCGCGCCCTCGGGCCGCGCGCTCACTGGCCACGGCCCTTCGCCTACCCGCCGCGCGCCCGCAGGTCGCGGCTCGGCGTCGGCGAGCACAGCCCTCACCGACGCCCCACCGACCACGATCCACGAACTCACCGCGCGCTCTGGGAAACGACCCCGCCATCGCCGCCCGCGCCCGCGCCGCAAAACGCCGCCTGGCCACCTGGGCCCCGCCCCCCCCGCTGCGGACGCGGGGCGCGCGCTTAGACACGCCGCGCACCGCCTTCAGGGGCTCCCGGGGAGACCCCATCCTCTCGACCCCTACCGACCCTGACCTCGGCACTCAAGTCGGCAAGGAGGTCGCTGTCCAGGGCCAGAAGCAAAACCCAATCAATGGTCTCCGCGGCGTCGTCTGGGGCCGCTCAAGCGACGCAAACCAATTCTGGATTGTCACGCTTACCAGCGGGTGCACCGCCCATCTGCTTCCCACCAGTCTGACCGTCGACGCCCTAGCGCCACCCCCCGAGGTTCCGCCCCTCGGCACGCGCGCCCCTCCCGAAGCCCCCGCCCAGCGCCCCCCCCACCCCCTCGCCGTCTGCGCGCGCGGCGGCAGAGGAGGCGAGTCGAAGAGGGAAGAGGCGGGGGCGAAAATCACAACCACCACGTCAACCATGCGCCTTGCGCGTCCAGCTGATGGGGCCACTGGCGACCGCACCTCAGTCGCGCGACCAGCCGTCGCGGCCACACCAGGGCGACCCCACGGCCGTCCGACGCCAGTCCGACTACACAGCGCGCACACAATCCGATCCCACGGCAGACCGACAAACTTACCACCTCTAACTGCTCCGCTGCATCGGGCGCGTCGCTCCCTTGCCTCACCAGGGCGCTGACCCCCTGCGTGAGCCGCGCCAACAGCTGCAGTGGTGCTGGCGCCTGTCGCACTCACCGCTGTTGAGGCAGCCCTGCAGCAGCCGCAAATTCACAGCGAGGGTGCCGCTCACTGGCGCACCCCCACGCTCACTGGCACAAACTTGTCTGCCACGCGTGTCTCACCGCCCACTGTTAAATACATTACACTACGCCCACACAGGGCCTCCACCACGGCCAGAGGCCCCACTTCTTGCAAGCCCGATTGCCCGCGCGGCCACACGTCATCGGGACTTGGCTGCGGCGGCGGGGGACGCCCCGTCGTTCGCAAGCCCCATCAGCACCTTGCCCCACGGCCGCCAACCGGGATTCCGCCGACCTGGGCCCTTTTCCCCCGCGGGCGCCGAGAGACGTGGCGAATCGCCTGCTCAGCACCCCGTGATTTTTTTCAGTCGCTTTGCGCCAGGATGTGGTTGCTTCAACGCTCCACGAACTTCCAAATGCGCACCACCGCCACGAATGCGATGGCGGCCTCGGCTACCGCAGTAGCCGGCCGTCGACGGGACTCCCGTCTACTTGTCCGATATCGCTCTATCTCCCTCTCTTGCTTTCATTCTCTCTCTCTCTCTCTATCTCTCTCCCGGCGGCAAGGGAGGAGGAGGAGGAGGAGGCGGAGGAGGAGGAGGAGGAGGAAGGGCAGGAGGAGGAGGATAAGGAGGAGGATGGGAGGAAGAGGAAGAGGATGAGGAGGAAAAAGAAGAGGAGGTGGAGGAAGAGGAAGAAAAGGAGAAGAACGACGAGGAGGACAACGAGGAGGAGAAAGAGGGGATAAAGAGAGGAGAGAGGAGAGAGGAGGAGAGGGAGAAAAAGGAGGAGGAAAAAGAGGAGGAGGACGGGGAGGAGGAGGGGGAGGAAGAGGAGGAGGAGGAGGAGGAGGAGGAGGACAGGGAGGCCGAAGGCCCCCAAGAAAGCTCCATCTACAGTCATGGACGAGCACCCCGCACAGTGCGGGAGATGAAGATGAAGATGGGGGAGGGGGAGGAGGAGAAGAAGGAGGAAGAGGCGAAAGAGGAGAAAGAGGAGGAGAAGGAGGAGGAGAAGGAGGAGGAGAAGGAGGATCAGCTCTGGATAGCGCTTGATGAGGGCACAGGATTTCCTCTGGCTCTATGTGTGAGGTGCGGGCATATGGCGTCGGCGAGGGCGAGCAGGCTCCGACCACCGAGCCGACCCACTACCTCAGCCTTGAAAGGGTTTTTGCAAAGGAACAAACGTGCAGAAGCTCTCGTCTCCTTGGCCCCTTTGCGGTGTTTCGGCGCCACCATTGGTTTTAACCTCTACCCCTTCGAGGTTGCTCCTGGCTCTCAAGAATAATGCTAGGAGCCCTGGAAGAGAGAGGCTTCTATTTTTATTCATGTAGAGCCGCTGGTCGATCTGGAGTTTGAGCGTTTGAGCGTTTGAGGCGGAGGAAGAGGAGAAGGAGCAAGAGGAGGAGGAGGAGGAGGAGGAGGAGGAGGACGACGACGACGACGACGACGACGGCTGCGGCGGCGGCAAAATCGCTGGGCACGAAACAGCACTGGTGTTCGGGCCATGACTCGGGCCTCCAGTGGCCACTCGGAACAATCTGGGCCCCCCCGATCGCTGACGGCGGGGCGCGGCTGCTGCAGGGAATCACGAGGCCGAAATGCCGCCGAGAAACGACAAGAACGTCCGAATACCACTTCCATTCTTTCACGGGGCCCAGATCAGGTCACTGATGGCCGGCATCTTATCTCATCGGTGACCCTCACAGCCCGCGCCGCTTCCTGTAAGGCGAGCGCCACCGCGTCCGAAAGCCTCGAGCCTCGAATCTCTACGCGTACGCTCGCGCTGCGCTCGCAAGCGGCGGCGGCGGGGCGGCGCGCGGGGGGCTCGCCCCAGCTCCGCCGCGTCCACGAGCTCGGAGGTGGGGCCTCGGCGGTGCCGACAGGCGGGGAGAGGGGGCGATGGATGGACGGACAGCGCCTCGGAGGAAAGGTCGGGGGGTGACGACGCCAAGACGTGGGGGGATCGACCCGAGTTGAATCGCCCTGAGACACTGGCCTTTCCTTTGGCCTCAACATCGGCGACGGGGGAGGAGGTGGAGGAGGAAGAGGAGGAGGAGGAGGAGGAGGAAGCAGGAAGCAGGAAGCGCTGCGGGGGGGGCTCCGGGCCCGTGCCTAGAAAGGCGTCGGGCTCACTGACCTCGTGGAGGGGCCAATCTTGCCAGCGCTGGTGCGCGGGCGCCCAGCCAGTCGGACACATTCAAGGCTCCAGCCTGCCAAAATCTTCGTCCATCGTCTGTCCCCGCACTGATCGACACCGTCCCGCAGTCTGCCTTTCCAGCCCCGCTGCTGCTGGGCACAGCGGGGAGAGGGGGGAAGAGGGGAGAAGCATCAATCAGGCTTGCGAGCCGCAGCATCTGATGGCCGCGCTCGGCCGCCTTCGCGGGCGGGCGCGTGCAGGGCGACGACGCTATTGCGCAGAGTGAAGGAGGAAGAAGGATAGGAGGAAGAGTAGGAGTGATCCTGTGCAAGTACAGTCGACAAGAGGAGGAAGAGTAGGAGAAGGATGAGGAGGACACCACGAAGGATGACCTGAAACCGCGGATAGGCCAGCATACCCGAGAACGGGAAGAAGACGGAACGTCTGCCGTTAGGGCATGAATGGTTTAGCGAGTTCCCCCTTCCATCTGCCCTCTTCCCCTTTGGGGGGGGGGTTACCCCTCCCCCTACCCCTTCCACATCTCTGATCAGGGCAACTCGTGTGGGCATCGTTTCTGGATGGGCTGGTGGGGTACAGACCCTGTTCGCCGGAATCCCTGTTCGCCGGTCCCTGTTCCCCATTCGCCGGAGTGCCCGTTCGCCAGGTCCCCGCTCGCCAGGGCCCCGTTCGCTAGAGTCCTCGTTCCACGGTCCTCGTTTGCCGGTCCCCGTTCGTCAATACCTGTTCGCCAGTCTCCGTTCGCCAGTCCATGTTCGCCAGTCCCTGTTCGCCAGGCGGGCGGGCCTGGCGGCGGGCGGGACCCACTCGGGCGGGTGGGCGGGAGGGCGGCGGACCAGGCGGCGACGACGAAGACGACGACGACGACGACGACGACGACGACGACGACGACGACGACGACGACGACCACGGCGACTACGGCGGGCGGACCCTAACGGGCCGGCGGCGCGTCGGGCGGGAGGGACATCAAAGTATGACGCATAATCGAAATATCTCACGCACACCGTAACGGGCGGGTCAGGTCGGGCGGGTGGACCCTAACGGGCGGGCGGGCTGGTCCGGGCGGGCGGACCCTAACGGGCGGGTCGGCGGCGGATCGGCCAGGCGGGACACGAAAGTATGACGCATCATCGAAGCAGCACACGCATGCCCTAACGGGCGGGTCGGGTCGGGCGGGCGGACCCAAACGGGCGGGTGGGCAGATCGGGCGGGCGGGGCATTCAAGTATGACGCGTCATCGAAGCAACACACGCGTACCCTAACGGGCGGGTCGGGTCGGGCGGGCAGACCCTACCCCCTAACAGGCGGGCGGGTCGGGCGGGCAGACCCAAACGGGCGAGCGGGCGGGCGGGCGGATCGGGCGGGCGGACGGGATATTAGAGTATGACGCGCAATCGAGGTTGCACACGCGGGCCCGAACGGGCGGGTCGGTCCGGGCGGGCGGACCCCAACGGGCGGGCGGGGCAGGCGGCGGACTGGGCGGGCGGGACATCAAAGTATGACGCATCACCGAAGCAGCATACGCACGCGTCCACTAGCGGGCGGGTCGAATCGGGCGGGCAGACGGGCGGGCGGGTCGCGCGGGCCGACCAGAACGAGCAGGCGAGCCGGCGGCGAGTCGGACGGGCGGGACATTAAAGTATGACACGCAATCGAGGGATCCCACGCACACCCTAACGGGCGGGTCGGGTCGGGCGGGCGGACCCTAACGAGCGAGCGGGTCCGGCGGCGGGTGGGACCCTAACGGGCGGGTGGGCGGCGGACAAGGCGGCGACGACGAAGACGACGATGACGACGACGGCAAGGGCGACGACGACGACGACGACGACAACAATGATGACGACCACCTTGCGAACACACGGTTTCACCAGCTGAGTTACTGTCCATGTGTGTATCCCTCTCTTTTGCGCCCGCCCACTAAGTTTGTTGACCACATCCCTCTCGGGGGGGATGCTGTTGTGCTGGTCGAAAACCATCTTCGGTGTAAGTATTCAGCGGTGAAAAAGACGTCTTTTTTGAACATGAGAGATCCCAGGGGCCCCTGTGAATGTTCAGGGCCTCGGGCGGCGACACACACCAAAGATGTTTTTCGTAGCGCTCCACCCCACACAAAAGATGCGTTTCCTAGCGCTGCGCCCCTAAAGTGCGACAACAGCGCTCCGCCCCACACAAAAGATGCTTTTCCTAGCGTTCGAAACCTGGACCCCGTTCGAAGAGGGAGCGAGCATGAAAGACAGGGGAAGAAAGAAAGGAAGTGGGAAACAGGGGATTCAGACTGATATAAGCTTCCCCCGGCAGTATATCACACCTGCGGGCAGCAGTAGACAGACCTAGCAGATAAGAGGGAGGGGCAACGAGGGAGCAATGCAAGGAGAACCGGCAGCTACTGATATTAGTCTCTCAAGCCCGTCGAAGTCCAATCAGGAAACAATGCCATGGACAGAAATCCTGACACGATGCGCGTTGCGCGTGCTGGAAAGCATACGCTGTGAAAAGGTCCTCCCATTGGGCCAAAGGCATACTGTGCGGAGCGGCGTATAAAGAATCACGCAGCAAGGCTGGCACGGCATCGGGCGAGTTTCCGGGAACCCTGGCGTCACTAAGCACGCATATCCAGTGCCCCCCATGTTGAGGTGTGCGAATCAGGTAAGCTCCCGTGTGAAAGCATCCTTCGGCTGTCACATGGTCAGAAAAGACGCCTCCCAATCGGGCTTCAACACCTGCTGGCGCCATGGGAATCGCCGCGGTGCCCGCCGCCGCGGAATTCGCCATGAGAGCGGCAACGTCGTAATTCCCGCTGGCGGAGTCCATGAGGCACTCAGGCGCGTCTCCGACTTTGCAAGCCAAGGCAATACTCTCAAAGTGGTGACGCGAAGAGATGATTGGCGGAAGGTTTTGGGCAGTGCGGATGGGGACCATCGCGTGGTTGAAAGCGCGGAGCCCGCATGTGGCATCCGTGTGGGTTCCGAACGGCGTGGTGGCTCGCGTTTCTGGTGAGTTGAACCATGGGAAGTCGGCAGAGACGGGCGCCAAGTTCGTGGGAAACGGCATGGTCTGGTGGGTGACTCCAGTCCAACGGGCGCATGGTCTGCACGTGACAACCGATTCTGGTCCTGCATGACATCCGCCCACGGCCCCATGAAACTGCGCGAGCGTCTCCTCTGCCGTAACGGAGTCTGCATCGGACTGTACGTCCGCGCTGCCCAAGTCTGCGGAACCCATGGAGTCGCTCGCGAAGTCCAAGTCCGCAGGCCGCCGTACTTCCTCTGGATCTGTGAGGCCGCATGGGGGCCTCGAGGCCACGTCGCTGTCAGTGCGCGCGGACGCCTCCTGCAGGTCGCTCGGGCTGATAGGCGGGCTCTCACTTGCATCGCTGTCAACTTCGCCGCCCTCGTCGGTGACATCTCCCTGCGCGCGCTCGTCCGCCTGCTCAAACAAGTCCGCGCCAACGCTGAAGCCAGAGTCTGGCATTTCTTCGTGCGCTGTGCGATCGCCGACATCCGACGACTCGCTGTCCTCGCACAGACCCTGCCAGCCATCAAAGTCGGAATCTTCGGAGTCACTGTCTTCAGAAAGAAAACCACGACGCACGTGCCCCGCATCGCCTGGCCCCCCACCGGCAAGAGGTCGGACAGCCGGAGCCCCCCGAAGATGAAGCAACCCTTCTTGGCAGAGAATCGGGAGACGGCCACGTAGCCGTAACCGCGAACGGCAGCGTGCTTTTGCTGGTTGAACCATATGGCACCTGCTGGTATTCTCGCCCCTCTGTGCCCTCCTGATGGTCGTCGCATAACCCCAGCAACATGGCAGGAACACCCGACCCTCCTCGTACATCCGATGCACTAAGATCAAATTTCCAGTTCCCCTGAGACGCGCCACAAACACTTCGTTGCCGCACAAACTCTCATGGATCACGGCCGTCGCGCCATTAACAAACCCCCTCACTTTGTCTAAATTCCGAGTGAGGCGTCCGAGAAGGCCCGGTTTCGCCACGATCTTGATCTGCACTCGGCTTGCAGGGTCCGGGTCGAAACCAGCTTCGAGCTCCTTCGGCGTAACGCCCGCTAAACGCAGGGCCGCTTCAGAAACTTCTTCTGAACCTCTGTTGGTCGCGCACAGCACAGTGAACGGGATGCCCGTCTGTTTCTCGAACTGCATGTCCTCCTCCTCCTCCTCCTCCTCCTCCTCCTCCTCCTCCTCCTCCTCCTCCTCCTCCCCCTCCCCCCTTTTCCTCGGCCTCTTTCCCCTCGTCCTCTCTTTAAATTCCTATTTCTGGCCAGATGATCAAGATCACCTGCAAGACAGCCCGACACTTGAGTAAAACGCCCGCGGCGGCGGGCGGACGGACGATAAAGCAACGCAGGCAGGAGCGATGAGAATCGAATCTCCTCCCTCCTCCCTCCGGCGACAGAGCGGCGGCGGGCCAGTAGAGCCGCTCGGCACAAGCGCCGCGGCCATGGCCGCCGCCGCCGCGCGGGGCCGGCTGCGGAGGGGGAGCTGTGGCCGCCGCCGCGTGGGGCCGGCTGCGGAGGCGGGGGCCCCACATCTACAGAGAGGGACCGCGCCTTCTGAGAAGGTTTCCCCCCTACCTCTGGCTCGGTCGAGCTGGCTAAAATGACCCCTACCCCTACCCCTTTTATCCTACTTCCTATGATTCAACACCCCGACATCCCCACTTAGCCAGCCGATAACAACCCCGCCGTCCGAACTGTCAAACAACAACAACAACAACAACAACAACAACAACAACAACAACAACAACAACAACCACAACCACAACCACAACCACAACCACAACCACAACCACAACCACAACCACAAAAACAAAACACCAACAAGAACAACAAGAACGACAACAACAACAAACTTTTTTTTTCTCGTCAACATGTCGTCGAGCTGCGAAAAGTGAAGCAGGAATGAGTCGGAATGAACATCGCTTGGGTAACCCTAAGCGGGTGGTCGCGTCCTACCCATCAGAAAAACCGTACACAGTCAACGTGTTTGCTGTCAGCATGGATTTTCTTGTTGTCGACGCTGCGAAAAATGTAGCAGGGATGGGGCGCGGCGCACATCGCGCGCGGACGACTGGCCAACCCTACGCGGGGCCCCCCGTCCAACCTGTCCAAAAACACCGCAAAGTCGACGTGAGTCTTGCCGATACGTATTTGTTCCTCGTCGGCGCTGCGAACCGCGTAGCGGGAATGGGACGCCCCGCGAATTCCCCAGAGGCATTCTCTCGATTCTCCTTTCTAGCAAGAATATACTCTACCCCCCCCCGGACTTATCGGTTCCCCCTGGGATAGTATGATTTCATATGTATCTAAACACATATATATATATATACATACGCACACTCGTCCATCCTAAATATGAAATCATACCATCCCGGCTAGGCCGGTTTCCCCCCCCCGAGGTTCCCTTGTAAAAAACCATATACGGTGACATTTTTTGTTCTAACATAACACTTGTTCGCGAATCCCTCGCAACAAATGAAACGAAGTGCACACGCGCGCGTCGTCGCGCGCGCATGCCGAAATCCTTCAATAACCTTCGGTGCGGGAAGGATTTCGCAATCGAGTTTCCAAAAAAATGCAAAGACACAGGGTTTCGCAACACAGAGTTGCTAAGAAAGCTTCCGCGAAAGCTCTTGCGAAATCTTAGGAAAATCATGGATTTTTGAAGATTTTCACAAAATGCTACTAAACGGGCTTCGCGCGCGCCAATGTCGAAATCTGTCGCACGCCCTTGCGCGTGTGCCGTCGCGAGAATCCCCTGCAAAAGAAAAGACGAAGTGCAGACGCGCGCGTCGTCGCGTGCGTATGCCGGAAACCTTCAAAACCCATCGGTTTCGGAAGGAATTCAAAATCGTGTGTCCGAAAAACCTACAAAAACACGAGGTTTCGCAACACGGATTTTCAAAAAAAGCGTGCGCGCGCGCTCTTGCGTCGTCGTCGTCGTCGTCGTCGCCGTCCTCCCTCCTCCCGCGTCGTTGTCGTCGTCGTCGTCGCCTACGTCGTCATGTGTCTTTCCTCGTGTTCGTCGTCGTCGTCCTCTTTGGCGTCGTGGTCGTTTCCGTCGTCGTTGTCGCCGTGGTCGTCCTTCCTCCTCCTCTCTCGTCGTCGTCGTCGTCCGTCGTCGGCGTCTCGTCGTCGTCCCTCCTATTCGGTCGCCGTCGTCGTCGTCGTCGTTGTCGTCGTCGTCGTCTTCCCTCCTCCCTCGTCGTTGCCGTCGTCGGCGTCGCCGTCCTTCCTCCTTTTTCGTCGTTCGCGTCGTCGCCGTCCTCCCTACTCCCTCGTCGTTGTCGTCGTTGTCGCCTTCGTCGTCCTCCCTCCTTCCTCTTTGTCTTCGTTGGCGACGTCGTCGTCGTCTTCGTCGTCGTCGTCGGCGTCGTCGTCGTCGGCGTCGGCGTCGTTGTCGTCTTCGTCGTCGTCGTCGTCGGCGTCGTCGTCGCCGCCGTCGTCGTCGTCGTCGTCGTCGGCGTCGTTGACGTCGTCGCCGTCGTCGGTGTCGTCGTTATCGTCGTCGCCGGCGTCGTCATCGTCGTCGTCGTTGTCATCGTCGTCGTCGTCGGCGTCGGTGTCGTCGTCGTCGTCGGTGTCGTCGTCGTCGTTGTCAGCGTCGCCGAAGTCGTTGGAGACGTCGTCGGTGTCGTCGTAGTCGTTGTCGGCGGCGTCGTCATCGTCGTTGTCGCTGTCGTCGTCGGCGTCGCTGTTGTTGCCAAGTGCCATGTGGTACCCACCGTCACGGTCTTAAGAGATTTTGCAAACCAAATTGCGGGTGGGGGGGTGGGATGTTTGCGCGAGCCGTGGAGTGGACAACTCACTGCGAACAGAAAGTATCATTCCTCCTTAGTTTCTCCCTCCCTCCCTCCCTCTCCCTCCCCTCCTCCTCCTCCTCCTCCCCCTCCTCCAGGCGCGGCAGGAGCGAAAATATTGGCGGTACAACACGCGTGGCTGGAATGAGACGCGGCGCACTTCGCGCGCTGGACATGGTGTCGCCGACGATGCAACATGAGAGGCCAGAGCGGGGCGCGGCGTACATCGCGCGCGGTCTTGTTTCTCGTCGTAGTTGCTCAATACGCGGCAGGAATAGGACGCAGCTCATGTCGCGCGATGAACGTCTAGCCGCCCACGATACAAGATGAGCGACAGGCGTCGGACGCGACGCACTTGCTTCTTATGTTGTGGGAGGGCGGGTGGGAGTGGACGGAGCCCTCTGGCTCGCTCGAGCTGGCTAACTTGACCCCCCCTACCCCTACCCCCCACTGCTTCCAAGAAGCCTCCCCCCCTACCCCTACCCCCCTCTGCGCGTGGCCAAAATCTTTCAGGCCAGGCGCCTTCGCCTGGTGTCAGGGCCCCGCACCGTCAGAGGCCGATCTGGCTCGAGAAACACTATAGAAAGCTTCGGTCTAAGGCTCAGGTTCGTGTTTTTCTGCGATGCTGCACGTTTGTCGCGACGCCGAGTCTCAAGCAAGGTCCGCGCTGGACTTCTTGGGCGGGCGCCGTCTCCCCGACCCACCTGGCGCGCGCGCGCCCGGGAGGTGCGGCGCCGGAGGCGCCGCCAAGGGTCCAGCGCCGATCCGCCAGTCGGCGGTGAGCCGGGGGGAGGGAACTGAGAAGGGGCGGGCCGTCTTAGAAGACTTGGAAAGCCGCCGGCCTTCTGAGAAATGTTCTGAGCCTTCCCGGAAGGCACAGAGAAGAATCTCCCAGATGGCGCGAGGGCCTCCGAGAAGCCTCGCTGCCTTCTGAGAAGGCCATCTGGTCCTGAGAGTCGACGATTGTTTGTGTATGTGTGTTTCTTCTCTCCCGATAACTTCGCGCCTCACGGCCCGCGATGCACGACGCGCCGCTGTCTTCGCGCAGCGCTCGCGCCCTCGCGCCGCCCCCAAGGGCAGCCGCCCCTGGGCTGGGCCGCGGCGCGCGGAGTGCGATGCTCTTCGGCAACAAAACAAACAATCTGAAGTCCGCGCGGACTGCTGGGGGCCAAAAGGGCCCTTGAGGACACCTTTTGGAGCCAGCAGGGGCCCAAAAGAGGCCCCAAAGGGCCCCTTTGGGGGGCCCTCTCTTCACCCCCCCACACATAGGTCACCCCCCAGCACCATCCCCCCCCGATTGACGAACACCCTGACCCTCGAGGCTTGACCCCCGGCCGCCTACCCACGTCCTGGGGCGCGGCTCGGCGACTCCGAAGGGTTGAAGGGGCCCAGGGACACACAGATGAATAGATTCAGGTCCCAGGATTCCGCATAGTTCCCCATATTTCCTGAATTTTCGTCGTCTTCTCCTCCACTTCCCATATTTTCCCTTATTTTCCTGGGGTGTCGGCGTTTGTTTGCGGTCCGCGCGGACTGCGTAGGCAGGCACAGGAACACCCACCCCCCTGTGCGCGCGCCAGCGCGCCGGAGGCGGCACCGGGAAGCGCCGCTAGGGGGGGGGACCAGCGTCGGTCCAGAAGTCCAGGGTCGGTGAGACTTTGAAGGTGGCGTAAGCATCAGGAAACTGACGAGACCCAATCTGAAATTTGACGCGAGCTCCCGCCGCAGACATCCCACGATAACTGGACCGTCAAAATCCACCTCGTCGAAAAGCTTCGTCAAACCCGATTTCCGGCGAACTCGAGCCGTACGCTTCTCCAGAAGAAGGAAATGCTCATGTCTAGGTCGGTCGGGTCTCACCCGCGGGGCCCTCCAGAGCAAAATCGTCTAAGTTGTGGTTGTGGCTGCTTGTTGTGTCTGGGTGTGAGCATCCAGCTGGGCTCGCTTCTTAACCGCACCTTGGGATAACCCCCCCTCTCGACGAACCCCCGACAGCTCGGACCTAAGGGCGTCGGGCATTGCTAAATGGTACGGGAGGGCGAAGAACAACGAGCACCTTCCGTGCACCTGTGGGTCCCCAGGGGGCCCCTTTACGGCACCGCAGGTGCACGAAAGCTGGCCAGTCGAGGCCAACCTCGCATCTGGCAGTCTGGCCAGGGAGTCAATCTGATTCAATCTGGCGAACAAAATCAGAGGCCCAGAGGTTGACACCAACACCAATATGGGCGGTGTGCCTCCACCGAGGGAAGAGTCCCCCGATCTCGGTGATGGTGGTAATATTCTGGCTTCTTAGGCGGCCGAAAGATTACCACCAACACCGAGATCTAGGATCGTCTTCCCCTGGTGGAGGAAACCCCCTGTGTTGGTGTTGGTGCCCATGTCCAGGTCTCCAACAGAAACAAACTCCAGTCTGCGCTGGACTGGCACCATTCTGAAACTCACAGGAGACTGGTACCGGTTTGGTCCCAAGGCCCAGATCCAGTCTGCCAGTCTGGCCTTCGACTGCCTGCCATCGCTCGGACGTCCGCTCACGTCCAGGCGATGCCAAGCCGAAGGTGCACGAAAGGTGCACCTTCTTCACCCCCAGACAGCCGGCCGCTTATATTTTTCCGATGCGCGGGCCCGGGAGGTCTCGACCACTTCC